AAACATAAATTATTCATTCTTAATCTGCCTGCGTTTTCTATCAAACACTCGATGCCATGTCTAAACGACATCCAGCAAAGACTAGTATCTAGAGTGGGCGGGAACTTTATAATGACGTCGCACGAAAAATGGCGGCGGAGCGGAAGCGCTCCAGTATTGTTTTAATTCTTCTTACAACCTTCGAAAACGAACCATTGCGTTGTTTTTGCTTTCTGTCTATTAAAATATTTCTTTATAAAATTTCTCAACCTAGTTACCTGTTGGGAATGTTTCTGGGTTTTACTCTACTTCTCCTAAATATTCATGACCTCAGGTCACGGATAGCCGCTCTCTATTCTAGCGAAATGTTGATTTTACGAAGCGAAAACACTCGCAATGAAATTTGATCGACAAAAAACAACTAAATGTGGTATTTTTCGACAGTGCATTTATTCTCTCTTAATGATCGATATTTTGTTCGATACAGAAACATTCGATCCAATATAGCTATCGAACGTGAAATACCGGTTTTCGATACATATCGAGTACCGGTACGGAGCCCTATCTTCAAGAGTTAAAGTTTTTCGTTTGCTGCTCATATTTCGAAGTGATTTGCCACAATAGTGATAATATGCCAGTATTGTGTATACCAGTGACGTAAATGAAATCAAACTCAATATAAAATGCATGGTGAATTGTGTTTACGTGCCATCAGCTGTTTTCTTAGTAGGAATGTTCACGTGGCAAGAAAACGTGACTCGCAGTCAAGAAAACTTGTCAAATGACTTATGGTCAAAACGGCCGTTTTAACGAGGTTTGATCGCGAGTTTGGGGACGAAAAGGGTGGCCGCTGGGCGCGTTAGACAGATGGTCGTTAAATTAGGTATCATTAATGAGAAAAAACGATTGGGAGGGTCTGAAAACGGCCGTTATATGCAGGTGGCCGTCTAACTAAGGTGGCCGTTATGACAGATTTGACTGTATTTGTAAACTACCAACTGCTTCATTAGATTTCTTATCAGATCAAACATGGTTTACAATACCTGCAGAAGAAAACCCTGTACCATATATCCTCTGTCCACAAGAAATACCACATATTTACATTAACTGCAGATGTCTCTGTTTGAATTGTAACACATCTAATACAAGATTTAAGTGCGACGTTCGAAATGTCACAGTTACAATTCTGAGGTAAGTCGTTATCGTTTTATACATAAAAAACACAAGGAACGTAAACCGATACCGTTTATAGATATCACACAAGATCGATTACAAATTGAACTGTCTCCTTTTATAGATATTACACAAGATTGATTGTGAATAAAATCCTTACCGTTTATACATATATATATATATATAACATAGACTTAATTGTAAGTTGAACCGTTACTATTTATAAATATATAACACATATTCTATTGCAAGTTAATTCTGACAGTTTATAAATATAGCACATGATCAATTCAAAGTGTAACCCTGACCGTTTATAAATATTACACAGAATCAATGCCAAATTGAACCGTCACTGTTTATAAATATCACACAAAAACCGTTCCTATTAAACAGTTACCGCCTGCAAATACTAAACAGAATCAATTCCAAATTGAATAGTAACAATTTTCTAATATACACAGATGCTATTGCAAGTTAACTCGCACCCGTTTATGAATATTACACAGAATCAATGCCAAGTTTAATCCTTACCGTTTATAAATATTACACAGAATCAATGACAAGTTTAATCCTTACCGTTTATAAATATTACACAGAATCAATGACAAGTTTAATCCTTACCGTTTATAAATATTACACAGAATCAATGACAAGTTTAATTCTTACCGTTTATAAATATTACACAGGATCAATGACAAGTTTAATTCTTACCGTTTATAAATATTACACAGAATCAATGACAAGTTTAATCCTTACCGTTCATAAATATTACACAGGATCAATGACAAGTTTAATTCTGACCGTTTATAAATATTACACAGGATCAATGACAAGTTTAATTCTTACCGTTTTTAAATATTACATAGGAGTTTCATTCTGACAGTTTATAAATATACACAGAATCAATGACAAGTTTAATTCTGACCGTCTATAAATATTACACAGTATCAATGACAAGTTTAATTCTTACCGTTTATAAATATTACACAGGATCAATGCCAAGATACATTCTAACCATTTATAAATATTACACAGGATCAATGACAAGTTTAATCCTTACCGTTAATAAATATTACACAGGATCAATGACAAGTTTAATTCTAACCATTTATAAATATTACACAGGATCAATGACAAGTTTAATTCTGACCGTTTATAAATATTACACAGAATCAATGACAAGTTCAGTTCTTACCGTTTATAAATATTACACAGAATCAATGACAAGTTTAATTCTACACAGGACAATGACATGTTTAATAATTCATAAATATTACACAGAATCAATGACAAGTTTAATCCTTACCGTTTATAAATATTACATAGGATCAATGACAAGTTTAATTCTAACCATTTATAAATATTACACAGGAGCAATGCCAAGTTTAATCCTTACCGTTTATAAATATTACACAGGAGCAATGCCAAGTTTAATCCTTACCGTTTATAAATATTACACATCAATGACAAGTTTAATCGTTTATAAATATTGGATCAACAAGTTTAATCCTTACCGTTCATAAATATTACACAGAATCAATGACAAGTTTAATTCTGACCATTCATAAATATTACACAGGATCAATGACAAGTTTAATCCTTACCGTTTATAAATATTACACAGAATCAATGACAAGTTTAATCCTTACCGTTTATACATATTACACAGGATCAATGACAAGTTTAATCCTTACCGTTTATAAATATTACACAGGATCAATGACAAGTTTAATTCTTACCGTTTATAAATATTACACAGAATCAATGACAAGTTTAATCCTTACCGTTTATAAATATTACACAGGATCAATGACAAGTTTAATTCTGACCGTTTATAAATATTACACAGAATCAATGACAAGTTTAATTCTGACCGTTTATAAATATTACACAGGATCAATGACAAGTTTAATCCTTACCGTTTATAAATATTACACAGAATCAATGACAAGTTTAATTCTGACCGTTTATAAATATTACACAGAATCAATGACAAGTTTAATCCTTACCGTTTATAAATATTACACAGGATCAATGACAAGTTTAATCCTTACCGTTTATAAATATTACACAGAATCAATGACAAGTTTAATCCTTACCGTTTATAAATATTACACAGAATCAATGACAAGTTTAATTCTGACCGTTTATAAATATTACACAGGATCAATGACAAGTTTAATCCTTACCGTTCATAAATATTACACAGGAGCAATGCCAAGTTTAATTCTGACCGTTTATAAATATTACACAGGATCAATGACAAGTTTAATCCTTACCATTTATAAATATTACATAGGATCAATGACAAGTTTCATTCTGACCGTCTATAAATATTACATAGGATCAATGACAAGTTTAATCCTTACCGTTTATAAATATTACATAGGATCAATGACAAGTTTAATTCTGACCGTTTATAAATATTACACAGAATCAATGACAAGTTTAATCCTTACCGTTTATAAATATTACATAGGATCAATGACAAGTTTAATTCTGACCGTTTATAAATATTACACAGAATCAATGACAAGTTTAATTCTTATCGTTTATAAATATTACACAGAATCAATGACAAGTTTAATTCTAACCATTTATAAATATTACACAGGATCAATGACAAGTTTAATCCTTACCGTTTATAAATATTACACAGGATCAATGACAAGTTTAATCCTTACCGTTTATAAATATTACACAGGATCAATGACAAGTTTAATTCTAACCATTTATAAATATTACACATGACACGTTTAATTCTTACCGTTTATAAATATTACACAGAATCAATGACAAGTTTAATTCTTACCGTTTATAAATATTACACAGAATCAATGACAAGTTTAATTCTTACCGTTTATAAATATTACACAGAATCAATGACAAGTTTAATTCTTACCGTCTATAAATATTACACAGAATCAATGACAAGTTTAATTCTTACCGTTTATAAATATTACACAGAATCAATGACAAGTTTAATTCTGACCGTTTATAAATATTACACAGAATCAATGACAAGTTTAATCCTTACCGTTTGTCAATATTAGAGAGCATTTATTCGAAGATGGACCGTTACTGTTTATAGATGTTACACAATCAATTTCAGTTGAAACCGTTCGGTTCATTGCGAATACTGTACAAATACCACACAGCCGTTACCGTCTATAGATATTACACAGAATTAATTTCAACTTAAATCGTCACTGTTTATAATCACTGCTGGGAATAAATTCGGATTTAAACTCGTCTCTATGAATATAATGACATAGACATTGAATTTGGATACAAATACAACCAGTCAACTGAATTCCTGCTGACTACAGCTACATGTAAATTTGTTATGAATATAATTACACAGGATCATTAAAATGTCTACTCAGAGGGACCCAGGTAAAACTGTAGCACAATGTCTTCTGCAACCTACATGAAGACGTACACATACACGTGTACACTTGATGTTGGTAACATTCAAAAGTGTTTCCCTTTAAAGTGAGCTGTACCCAGTTGAAATAGATATAGAAGTATATGTATGGCCTATTTAAATTTACACGTCGTCACGATAAACATCTCGGCACAGTGAAGCAGAGACGAGATAGCCCGCCATCATATACTGGATGGTTGAACTGTTTATAGATACAGAGTGTAGGTCATGGTAGGTCTATATAAACAACGGCCATTCACAACACAAATCTAATGTGTAAATACACTGTAACAGATATAACCATGACAGTTGTTTACTTCCGTGTACCATTCACACACACACAACCAGTGTGTTTTTAGTGATAACACGTACAACACACATGTAAGCATGCAGATATATATTTACACATACCATGACTTACCTACAGGAAGACCAACCTCATCCTCTCCCCGGAGTTGGATATTCTTGTGAACACCAGTCTCCTCATCTCATGTTGATTAATATGTAATAAAGGGAAGCAATTCTAGCTTCCGCACAGAAGTCAGGATCGATCGGTGATACCTACTCGTAAACACATCTTTGCTCCTCTGCGATTGGCTGGGTCCGTCTGCTGAGTTTTCTTACTACCTCCCTTTATACAAGGCTAACTATATATGTATTTACGATACCAGTGTTATTGTTTATAATCTAGCGATGCTGTTTACAAATGTACTGTTGAGTAAGTATAAAAATGCGTTATAATTATTTACACAGTAATACTGTTTATATCATAACTAGTGATCGTATGTGTGTGTGTTTTGGGGATTTTTTTTATTCTATTATTATTATTGTTATATTATATTTGGGGATTTTTTTTTTCTTCAAAAATTCAGAAACGTTACATTTTTATGGGTTCTTAAGTAAAAATGTTGAAAAATCAATCGGAGGCAGCCACTTCACTGTGTCTATTTTCAATTCATGACGTAATATCGTTGTCGTCAATATTATGACATCCCAATCGATTTCAGGCTGGCGTAAATGATAAGGAAAGGTTACAGGGTATAAAACAGGGATGAATTAGTTGTATAATGGGCGGATTATGTCAAAGAAAATGACGTCACACAGGCAACCAGATTGTATTGTGACGTATCAAATTGGAGACTACAGATAAAGAATCGAAATGACTTCAAGTTTGAAGATATTTAAGTCTTATCTTGTCTGTCGATCTTTCAATCTTTTCTTGTCTGTAGAACTTTTAATCTTATCTTGTCTGTAGATCTTTAATCTTTTCTTGTCTGTAGATCTTTTAATCTTATCTTGTCTGTAGATCTTTTAATCTTTTCTTGTCTGTAGATCTTTTGATCTTATCTTGTCTGTAGATATTTAGTCTTATCTTGTCTGTAGATCTTTCAATCTTATCTTGTCTGTAGATCTTTTACTCTTTTCTTGCCTGTATATCTTTAAATCTTATCTTTTCTGTAGAACTTTTGATCTTATCTTGTCTGTAGATCTTTTAATCTTTTCTTGTCTGTAGATCTTTAATCTTATCTTGTCTGTAGAACTTTTAATCTTATCTTGTCTGTAGATCTTTTAATCTTTTCTTGTCTGTAGATCTTTAATCTTATCTTGTCTGTAGAACTTTTAATCTTATCTTGTCTGTAGAACTTTTAATCTTTTCTTGTCTGTAGAACTTTTCTTGTCTTAATCTTTTCTTGTCTGTAGAACTTTTAATCTTTTCTTGTCTGTAGAACTTTTAATCTTATCTTGTCTGTAGATCTTTAATCTTTTCTTGTCTGTAGAACTTTTGATCTTTTCTTGTCTGTAGATCTTTAATCTTTTCTTGTCTGTAGAACTTTTAATCTTATCTTGTCTGTAGATCTTTCAATCTTATCTTGTCTGTAGATCTTTCAATCTTATCTTGTCTGTAGATCTTTCAATCTTATCTTGTCTGTAGATCTTTCAATCTTATCTTGTCTGTAGAACTTTTAATCTTATCTTGTCTGTAGATCTTTCAATCTTATCTTGTCTGTAGATCTTTTAATTTTATCTTGTCTGTAGAACTTTTAATCTTTTCTTGCCTTTAGATCTTTCAATCTTTTCTTGCCTTTAGATCTTTAATCTTTTCTTGTCTGTAGATCTTTCAATCTTATCTTGTCTGTAGATCTTTCAATCTTATCTTGTCTGTAGATCTTTTAATTTTATCTTGTCTTATCTTGTCTGTAGATCTTTTAATCTTATCTTGTCTGTAGAACTTTTAATCTTTTCTTGTCTGTAGATCTTTCAATCTTTTCTTGTCTGTAGATCTTTTAATCTTATCTTGTCTGTAGAACTTTCAATCTTTTCTTGTCTGTAGATCTTTCAATTTTATCTTGTCTATAGATCTTTTAATCTTTTCTTGTCTGTAGAACTTTTAATCTTTTCTTGTCTGTAGATCTTTCAATTTTATCTTGTCTGTAGAACTTTTAATCTTTTCTTGTCTGTAGAACTTTTAATCTTTTCTTGTCTGTAGATCTTTCAATTTTATCTTGTCTGTAGATCTTTCAATCTTATCTTGTCTGTAGAACTTTTAATCTTATCTTGTCTGTAGATCTTTTGATCTTATCTTGTCTGTAGATCTTTCAATCTTATCTTGTCTGTAGAACTTTTAATCTTATCTTGTCTGTAGATCTTTTGATCTTATCTTGTCTGTAGAACTTTTAATCTTATCTTGTCTGTAGAACTTTTAATCTTTTCTTGTCTGTAGAACTTTCAATCTTTTCTTTTCTGTCTTTTGATCTTATCTTGTCTGTAGATCTTTTAATCTTTTCTTGTCTGTAGATCTTTTTGTTGTAGATATTTAGTCTTATCTTGTCTGTAGATCTTCAATCTTATCTTGTCTGTAGAACTTTTGATCTTATCTTGTCTGTAGAACTTTTGATCTTATCTTGTCTGTAGATCTTTTAATCTTATCTTGTCTGTCGATCTTTTGATCTTATCTTGTCTGTCGAACTTTCAATCTTATCTTGTCTGTAGATCTTTCAATCTTATCTTGTCTGTAGATCTTTTAATCTTATCTTGTCTGTAGAACTTTTAATCTTTTCTTGTCTGTAGATCTTTCAATCTTTTCTTGTCTGTAGATCTTTCAATTTTATCTTGTCTATAGATCTTTTAATCTTTTCTTGTCTGTAGAACTTTTAATCTTTTCTTGTCTGTAGAACTTTTAATCTTATCTTGTCTGTAGAACTTTTAATCTTTTCTTGTCTGTAGAACTTTTAATCTTATCTTGTCTGTAGATCTTTCAATCTTATCTTGTCTGTAGAACTTTTAATCTTTTCTTGTCTGTAGAATCTTTTCTTTTAGATCTTTAATCTTATCTTGTCTGTAGAACTTTTAATCTTATCTTGTCTGTAGAACTTTTGATCTTATCTTGTTTATAGATCTTTTAATCTTATCTTGTCTGTAGATCTTTCAATCTTATCTTGTCTGTAGAACTTTTAATCTTAGATCTTTCAATCTTTTCTTGTCTGTAGATCTTTCAATCTTGTCTGTAGATCTTTTATCTTGTCTGTAGAACTTTTAATCTTTTAGATCTTTAATCTTATCTTGTCTGTAGATCTTTAATCTTTTCTTGTCTGTAGATCTTTTAATCTTATCTTGTATGTAGAACTTTTAATCTTATCTTGTCTGTAGAACTTTTAATCTTTTCTTGTCTGTCTGTAACTTTTAATCTTATCTTGTCTGTAGAACTTTTGATCTTATCTTGTCTGTAGATCTTTTAATCTTATCTTGTCTGTAGATATTTAGTCTTATCTTTTCTGTAGAACTTTTAATTTTATCTTGTCTGTAGATCTTTTAATCTTTTCTTGTCTGTAGAACTTTTAATCTTTCTGTAGATCTTTATCTTGTCTGTAGAACTTTTAATCTTTATCTTGTCTGTAGAATCTTTTCTTTTAGATCTTTTAATCTTTTCTTGTCTGTAGAACTTTTAATCTTTTCTTGTCTGTAGAACTTTTAATCTTTTCTTGTCTGTAGATCTTTTAACTTTTAATCTTTTCTTGTCTGTAGATCTTTTAATCTTTTTCTTGTCTGTAGATCTTTAATCTTTTCTTGTCTGTAGAACTTTTAATCTTATCTTGTTCTTGTCTGTAGAACTTTTAATCTTTTCTTGTCTGTATCTTGTCTGTAGATCTTTTAATCTTTTCTTGTCTGTAGAACTTTTGATCTTATCTTGTCTGTAGAACTTTTAATCTTATCTTGTCTGTAGAACTTTTAATCTTTTCTTGTCTGTAGAACTTTTAATCTTTTCTTGTCTGTAGATCTTTTAATCTTATCTTGTCTGTAGATCTTTTGATCTTATCTTGTCTGTAGATCTTTTAATCTTTTCTTGTCTTATCTTGTCTGTAGAACTTTTAATCTTTTCTTGTCTGTAGATCTTTTAATCTTTTCTTGTCTGTAGAACTTTTAATCTTATCTTGTCTGTCGATCTTTTAATCTTTTCTTGTCTGTAGATCTTTCAATCTGTAGATCTTTCAATCTTTTCTTGTCTGCAGAACTTTTAATCTTTTCTTGTCTGTAGATCTTTTAATCTTAATCTTTTCTTGTCTGTAGATCTTTTAATCTTTATCTTGTCTGTAGATCTTTTAATCTTTTCTTGTCTGTAGATCTTTTAATCTTTTCTTGTCTGTAGATCTTTTAATCTTTATCTTGTCTGTAGAACTTTTAATCTTTTCTTGTCTGTAGATCTTTTAATCTTTTCTTGTCTGTAGATCTTTTAATCTTATCTTGTCTGTAGATCTTTTAATCTTTCTTGTCTGTCTTTTAGAACTTTTAATCTTTTAATCTTGTCTGTAGATCTTTTAATCTTTTCTTGTCTGTAGATCTTTTAATTTTTCTTGTCTGTAGATCTTTTAATCTTTTCTTGTCTGTAGAACTTTTAATCTTATCTTGTCTGTAGAACTTTTAATCTTTTCTTGTCTGTAGAACTTTTAATCTTTTCTTGCCTTTAGATCTTTTAATCTTTTCTTGTCTGTAGATCTTTAATCTTTTCTTGTCTGTAGATCTTTTCTTTTAATCTTACTTTAGAACTTTTAATCTTTCTTGTCTGTAGTCTTTTAGATCTTTTCTTGTTTAGATCTTTTAATCTTTTTCTTGTCTGTAGATCTTTTTTAGAACTTTTAATCTTTTCTTTTAATCTTTTCTTGTCTGTAGATCTTTTGATTTATCTTGTCTGTAGATCTTTTAATCTTATCTTGTCTGTAGAACTTTTAATCTTTTCTTGTCTGTAGATCTTTTAATCTTTTCTTGTCTGTAGATCTTTCAATCTTTTCTTGTCTGTAGAACTTTTAATCTTATCTTGTCTGTAGAACTTTTAATCTTTTCTTGTCTGTAGAACTTTTAATCTTATCTTGTATGTAGATCTTTTAATCTTTTCTTGTCTGTAGATCTTTAATCTTATCTTGTCTGTAGATCTTTAATCTTATCTTGTCTGTAGATCTTTATAATCTTTAATCTTATCTTGTCTGTAGATCTTTGTAGATCTTTAATCTTTTCTTGTCTGTAGATCTTTAATCTTATCTTGTCTGTAGATCTTTAATCTTATCTTGTCTGTAGATATTTAAATCTTATCTTGTATGTAGATCACTAAATTCTTGACGCTATAAAACACTGGCCATGTGCAATACAGACTAGATAGAATATACACATTTGATGAAATTCGTTAACACCGATTGCTGATAAACAGGGAATCAGAGGAAATGTGTTGATAGGGATAGAAAATTTTCTCTACAACCTGAAACAAAGTATAGCTTGGATGTTAAAAGTGGAGAATCCCAAGGGAGTGGCATAGATGCTAACAACAACAATATCAATCTGGTGGTGAGTCATATAATATCAAAAGCCTAAACATAGGAATAGCTGTAGAACCGGTTACCTAGGTGATATAATAGAATTGACGTAAAATGTCCTGGTCACCTTACGTCAACAAATATGTACAGCAGTAGTATGAAGATATGCAACAAGCCAGCGAAATTAATTGAATTTTGCCCTTAGGAAGTCAAAATCAAAATGACAAAGTCGTTATTGATAGATCTTGGTATGGACAACTCACAGAAATTATTCACAAATGTCATAACGTTGACCTACGTGACCTTAGGTGAAGATCCGAGATGTGAAAAGGTATGTAACGTGTCATTTGTAACGAAAACCTCTGTGGCTCAACGTCCCACACCCGTAGTGGTTTGAGTTTTATGTGAAGCTGAAAAACGAACCGGTCTGGTTTTTTTTTTTTTTTTGTCATGGTTGTCTCATGGAGCTATACGCAATATCTAAATCGCCCTCATAGTATGATGTACGAGTGAGGTAGTTACCTTGTGTGATGTATGACGGACCTATATGTTGTTTAGTGAGGTAGTCACCCTGTATGGAGTACGACGGACCTATATGTTGTTTAGTGAGGTAGTCACCCTGTATGACGTACGACGGACCTATATGTTGTTTAGTGAGGTAGTGACTGTATGACGACGGTATGACATGACGTACGACGGACCTATATGTTGTTTAGTGAGGTAGTCACCCTGTATGACGTACGACGGACCTATATGTTGTTTAGTGAGGTAGTCACCATGTATGACGTACGACGGACCTATATGTTGTTTAGTGAGGTAGTCACCCTGTATGACGTACGACGGACCTATATGTTGTTTAGTGAGGTAGTCACCCTGTACGACGGACCTATATGTTGTTTAGTGAGGTAGTCACCCTGTACGACGGACCTATATGTTGTTTAGTGAGGTAGTCTCCCTGTACGACATACGACGGCCCTATATGTTGTTTAGTGAGGTAGTCACCCTGTATGACGTACGACGGACCTATATGTTGTTTGGTGAGGTAGTCACCCTGTATGACGCACGACGGACCTATATGTTGTTTAGTGAGGTAGTCACCCTGTATGACGGACCTATATGTTGTTTAGTGAGGTAGTCACCCTGTATGACGTACGACGGACCTATATGTTGTGTAGTGAGGTAGTTACCAGATACCACAAGGTGACTTTAAAATGGCTGTTGTCAAACCAAGCAAAGAATCTTATCTGTAGTATTAGATGTAAAAGTATTATTTCAGTTGTTAACAAAAAATAAATAACTTAACTCGCGTTTGTGAAATACCAAATGATCATACTAACCATACATGTTCGTTTTCACCCTCGATACTTCAGGGGTTACGATTACTCTCGCTCTCTACAACCCCTGGAAAATGTCGTGGCAAAATGGACGTTTTCGTGTGACTAGTTTGAGCTTTCGAGGTACATCAAACGAATCTCAGGTCGCATAACGGTATATTGTAATGGATTTAAAGTGTACCTTGAGTGTAATTTTATATATAGATATAATGTTGAGAATGCCATTAAAATAATAATAACGAAAACCCCGTCAAAATCCGCCGCCCCAGTGTCGAGTTATTAAATCTCAAAGTTGGCGATTTTCACCTGTCCGCTCAGACTTAATCAGCGTAATCGTCATTTCCGCGGAATCGAGGCGCTTCTACTCGTGACGTCATAATTTCAACAGAAATGTCAGTCAACATGACTGACATTGACAACGACACCGCAACTGAGAGCGATTTGAGCATGGATTTTGAGGAGTCTGATTATGATGTGGATGATATTTCTGAAGACGGAATCCAGCCCTACCGATTGGAACCGGAATTACAAGACGATGTATCCAGTGAGGAGGAAAATAACGCTTCGAAAAGTGACGATCGCTTGGGCAACATAGATTGGCATGTACTTCACTGGGTCTCACCAGTAGTCGTGAAAGTAGTCGAACAGTGAATCGTCGTTTCAAAGAAACAAAATAAAATTGGGTGTGGTTTTGGACTAATTTTACTATCTTCAAGTCTCGATCAACAATTTCTGACGTCGGGAAATCGCGTTTGTGCAAGACTATGCATACATTCACGAGGTGTCTGGAATTTTCGTACCGAAGAATTTTCGTCCGAGGGGAATTTTCGTAGCACTATGGATATATATATAGTTAGGGTGTCAACAACCAATTATAACACCCTCCGCTGTGTTGATAATAAAAATTTGATGTTTTAGAAGTTTATACATTCATTTGACTGGTTTTTACCCAAGTACTGGTACGCGTCTGTTATTAGCCGACAGGCGTGTCGCCTCATAGGTGTCACCATTGTATTTTCAAGCCACAGGGGTGCTAATTACCTAGCCTGGCACAGGTGTGATTATGAGTTTAGATGACATCTCTACACTGTGGACTGTGTTTACAAATCAAGACTGGTGATCTTATTGTTATTTTTACAATCGCAAAATTAATAACTAAACAACATCGTCTGCTGGAAGGTCTAAAAACCGAATACACCTTATACACACACCATGACACATAACCTATTCTAATAATTCTATATTATATAATAGTAGTACGAAAATTTTCGGGGCGAAAATTCCCAGGACTCATTCACTACTAGGCCTTCTCCGTGTATTAGGCGTTCACGATTACGAAGGAATAATATTCCATTGACCGCCCAAGCCATAGGCTAGCCTATCAATTTTGTGTTTAGTTGTAGAATTAATAACAAAATATCAAACTAACAAATATACTTTTATATTATGAACAATCAGTTTTATTTATCGGCGTCATGCTTCGACACCCCATCTGTGTTAGAACAACCATACGCTGCACATCGCTTCCCTCCTCGATAGGAAGCCATTTTAGCGGATTTAAGCGCTAATCCACCGACCCTCGTTCACTACCTTAAATATTGCGAAGATGTGAAGTACTTTCACGTAAATAAACAAAGAAATTATCCAGGAAAAATCCCAAAATAGATCACAATCACATGTAGCACAGTAAAGACAATATGGCTGCATCAGCAAAAGCGTTGAACTTATGACATCACAGGTTTTGGATGTCCGAAAACGAGGTCAACGCCTCTCAGGCAAAGGTGTATTTTTTCAGAAAAGTCGCAATTTCTCAGTAACGGAACATTCCACGGCATTCGCGTTTTCGGCATTGTGTGTTTTATGTGCAGAAGTATTTTTCAAGGTCAACATAGCTGACCTCTCAGGGTACACTTTAAAGTTGGATGTCGCTTCTTTGTAATCTTCAAAAGGAGCGTTTCACCCGTAACCAGTCCTTGTTTTATTCCTGGAACCAATCAAATTACTTCACTTGTGCCTTCAGTTTTGCCATGACATGTTCCAGGGGTGTCAAGAGCGAAATGATCGTAACCCCTGGAGTATCAACTACCGTTAACTTTGGGGAAACAAAAAGTAATGTACTTTGGAGAAAAACTCAACAAGCTATCTTTAAAAGCATGTAGAGACACGTGAAAACAGGCGGTCTTCTACCTTTCAGATAACTGCATTGGCTATATAAGAGATAATATATACATGTATTCAGGGACGTATGGTGATGTATTAAAATGGGAAACTTTTCATATCGTATTAACATATATGTAAGTGTGTATGTGTGTGTAAACAGTGAATTTTATCAACTCGGCAAAATATATGTTTCGCTGACATTTTCGAGCATTTGGCCGATACAAAATACATTCTAGAGGTTAAAGTTCATATATTTCTTACAGAGTTTATTTGATAATTTTGTGTTGTCCAATGGTAACGACCTTCTGTTAGATTAAAACTGGCAAAGGTGATTTCATTTCTATTTTTGATTTAGGTTCAGTTAGACACCAGCATCCATTAATATCCACATATTGAATGAATGAAAACTGCGCTAGCTGAGTACAATTTACCTCACTTCCGGTTTCTAACAAAATGTCAACAAACCAGTAGTCGAGTTCTCGTTAGATATTTGCAAGATGGAAGATATTACCGATGGTGCATGGGGCCAACTTGTCAGTGTCACGGATGTTGACAGTCCCCATTTCCCTTTAATAGAAAACAGATTTACTGTTGGACGAGCGAAAGGTGACCGGGTTAATCATTGGCAGGGGGTGAGGCCGGATCTTGCTGATTGTGCAGATCACGGAAATAGCCCTCAGACAACATCAACATTTCTGTCACGGAAAATATAACATAATTTATCATGCTGTTACTGATATTTACAGTTTTACCGATTATGCTGTCTTTGAAAATGAGCATGACAATGTGAAAATTATTCTAAAATTGAGCATATTTTATACAATACCAATATGAATAGCTATCAAAGTGATATGTAGACAGCTTCTGCTCAACTGACTTGACAACAGGCAGACAAGATGAGTGAAAGTTTATAATTGATTTTATGTTAAATTTAGTTTCATGTATATGAGTGCATGTACATGTACATGGAATTCATGTTTAACGATGATTCGTAAGTTTTAAAGTCAAATACACACTATATAGTCTTTTGCAGCTGTCATATCACAAAATCCTTCACATATAACGTAGACTGAAATTTTCACAAATATTACTGTGCAGTCAAATGTGCACTTCAGACCTCTTTAGCCAAACGTGGGTTTGAGACAAACTAGTCGTGAGAGAAGTTGATTCATGGTTTTTAATTGTTCAATCACCATGGTAGAAATGCATAGGTGGCATGTGGATTTTCCTCCACATTTAGCGGCATATGCTGAAATTTTTTAAACAACATAAAATAATATTTTGTTTTCATATGTGGATTGTGCTTTATAGGATTTTTTGCCATATAGGTATTGATATTATCACAGATCTATTATCTGACAGAACTATTATTTAGTTTGATTTTGATCAGTCGTAATCTCCGTCTTATATTTACCCCAGAATAAAAATGACAATTATGGCAGGCAAATATCCTTGAATTTTATCTGATACACAAGGATATCAATTCATAAACATCAGGTATCCAAAAATTCAGCATGATTTTAATTTAATAAAAAGGCATTATAGCCAATTAACACTTACTTACCTATTAAACCTTTTTGTATATCAGATTGTGACATATCGCTGACTAGTAACAAGCTTGTATCAGGCAGACACTGCCATATTGAAAGGGATGCTGAAGGGAGAGTCTGGCTCTGTGACACAAGGTGAAGCTCTGTGACAGTTTGTGATCCAATTTTTTTTATTAATGGTGATAGATACATGTTTAATTAAATTTCTCATAGTGTGAGTTGTGTTTGTAAATTTCAGTAACTACTTGACTAATTCCAGGACATTTCACACAATTATCACAAGTATCTCATAATCCAGTATTTTAAGTCTTGCATTACTTTCATATCATATTTTCTGTCTGACAGATAACTCAGATTGTGTTAAGTTAAAAACAAATTCTTACAATTTAAAAGAATAAGGCACAGTGCTTATTGTTTATATTGTTATTTTCTGTAAAAGCGTTCCTTTTCACTTTTTTACTGTAGCTTGAAAGCATGAAAACGCATTTAAATTTTGTATTTGGCATTTCAGTACAAATGGAACATTGCTGAACACGAGTGAGAAAATTACAAAAGGAAATGTGAGTAAAACTTAAGCTATTGCAAGCATGAGATGTGATTTAGAAATGTATATTTTCCATTTGTAATTGCATAACAAATTGAAATGGTGATAATTGTAATCAGACTATTGGTACATTGTATCTCTTTTGATTTTGATGTAAATATTTAATTTGAAAAAAAGCTATTCAAAAGTTTTTCAACTTAGAAATTACGAAAACATTAAATTACATAAAATGCAGTTATGCTAGAGTTATAGAATTTCTGAGGGTGCTATGGAATGAATTATATGACCATGAAAATATGAGATATTGTTTAAGTACTTCAGCTATGATAATATTTTCAATGCACAATTTGTCATCATTACAAATATCTATCTATCTCTCTATATATAGATAGATAGATATTTGTAATTTGGATGACAAATTGTTCATTTAATTATAGTACAAATTAATTATTTGCAATTCACATAATTTAGATAAGTAAACTATCAAGGCATAGTGATAAAGTATATATGATATATCTTTTATTTGAGTAAATAATGTTATATATTATTTTACAGAGAAAGGAGTTAACACACGGCGATGAGTTCTTTGTTGTCTACAAAAATAATGTTATATATTATTTTACAGAGAAAGGAGTTAACACACAGAGATGAGTTCTTTGTTGTCTACAAAAATAATGTTATATATTATTTTACAGAGAAAGGAGTTAACACACGGAGATGAGTTCTTTGTTGTCTACAAAAATAATGTTATATATTATTTTACAGAGGAAGGAGTTAACACACGGAGATGAGTTCTTTGTTGTCTACAAAAAAGATGAAGAGGACATCAGTAAGTTATGTTTCATATCTATAAACGTCTTGTACTCTAATATCTGTTATTTCATTAGCAGTTTTTTACTTGATACTCCAGACAAACTGTACACGCTATATATACCATCATTTTCGTGATATAAGTAAGCTCTATGTATCAACTTTTATTTGATATATGTAAGCTCTCTGTATCACTCTTAACTTGATATATGTAAGCTCTCTGTACACTCTTTTACTTGATATATGTAAGCTCTATGTACCCTCTTTTACTTGTTATATGTAAACTCTCTGTATCACCTATTACTTGATATAAGTAAGCTCTCTGTATCACTCTTCACTTGATATATGTAAGCTCTCTGTACACTCTTTTACTTGATATATGTAAGCTCTATGTACCCTCTTTTACTTGTTATATGTAAACTCTCTGTATCACCTATTACTTGATATAAGTAAGCTCTATCTATCACCTATTACTTGATATAAGTAAGCTCTCTGTATCACTCTTCACTTGATATAAGTTAGCTCTATGTATCAACTTTTATTTGATATATGTAAGCTCTCTGTACACTCTTAACTTGATATAAGTAAGCTCTATGTATCAACTTTTATTAGCCCACCATCTATTCAAATAGATGGTGGGTTATTCAAATCGCCCTGCGTCCATGGTCCGTGGTCCGTCCGTCCGTCCGTCTGTAAACAATACTTGTTACCGCTATTTCTGGAAAAGTACTGGATGGATCTTTCTCAAATTTCATATGTAGGTTCCCCTTGGTCCCTAGTTGTGCATTGTACCTTTTTTTGAACTGATTCGAATTCAAGATGGCCGACAGGTGGCCATCTAGGATTTTGGAAGTAAAAGTTTGTTACCGCTATTTCTGGAAAAGTACTGGAAGGATCTTTCTCAAATTTCATCTGCAGTTTCCCCTTGGTCCCTAGTTGTGCATTGTACCTTTTTTGGACTGATTCGAATTCAAGATGGCCGACAGGTGGCCATCTTGGTTTTTTGATGTAAAAGTTTGTTACCGCTATTTCTTAGAAAGTACTGGATGGATCTTTCTCAAATTTCATATGCAGTTTCCCCTTGGTCCCTAGTTGTGCATTGTACCTTTTTTGGACTGATTCGAATTCAAGATGGCCGACAGGCAGCCATCTTGGATTTTGGAAGTAAAAGTTTGTTACTGCTATTTCTTGGAAAGTGCTGGATAGATCTTTCTCAAATTTCATATGCAGTTTCCCCTTGGTCCCTAGTTGTGCATTGTACATTTTTTGGACTGATTCGAATTCAAGATGGTCGACAGGTGGCCATCTTGGATTTTGGATGTAAAAGTTTGTTACTGCTATTTCTTGGAAAGTACTGGATGGATCTTTCTCAAATTTCATATGCAGTTTCCCCTTGGTCCCTAGTTGTGCATTGTACCTTTTTTGGACTGATTCGAATTCAAGATGGCCGACAGGTGGCCATCTTGGATTTTGGATGTAAAACTTTGTTACCACTATTTCTTGGAAAGTACTGGATGGATCTTTCTCAAATTTCATATGCAGGTTCCCCTTGGTCCCTAGTTGTGCATTGTACCTTTTTTGGACTGATTCGAAATCAAGATGGCCGACAGGTGGCCATCTTGGATTTTGGATGTAAAACTTTGTTACCGCTATTTCATGGAAAGTACTGGATGGATCTTTCTCAAATTTCATATGCAGGTTCCCTTTGGTTCCAAGTTGTGCATTATACCTTTTTGGACTGATCCGAAATCAAGATGGCTGACAGGCAGCCATCTTGGATTTTGAGAGTAAAATCTTGTTACTGCTATATCGGAGGAAGTGCTGGATGGATCCTTCTGATATTTCATAGATATTGGTTTCCCTTGGTCCCTAGTTGTGCATTGTACCTTTTTTGGACTGATTTGAAATCAAGGTGGCCCACAGCAGCCATCTTGGATGTCGACAGTAATACAGTACAAGCATATTGTCCATTATCCACCTGTAACTGACTGCTATCTAATAATACTTTGGGATCTTTTTCAAATGATATTTGCTAATAGGTGCTTAATAAAAATATCTTGTGCCATCATTGAGTACATTCAATGAAGACCAGTTCATGAACATTTACAACACCTGTAACACACAAAAAAAAAAAATAAACAAATCATCAAGAACTGAAAACAGATCCTCAAATGGTGGGCGCCAAGATCCCTCTGGGATCTCTTGTTTGATATATGTAAGCTCTCTGTACACTCTTTTACTTGATGTATGTAAGCTCTCTGTATCACCTTTAATTTGATATATGTAAGCTCTATGTATCACCTTTAATTTGATATATGTAAGCTCTATGTTTCACCTTTTATTTGATATATGTAAGCTCTCTGTATCACCTTTAATTTGATATAAGTAAGCTCTATATATCACCTTTTACTTGATATATATAAGCTCTCTGTATCACCTTTAATTTGATATAAGTAAGCTCTATATATCACCTTTTACTTGATATATGTAAGCTCTATGTATCACCTTTAATTTGATATATGTAAGCTCTATGTATCACCTTTAATTTGATATATGTAAGCTCCCTGTATCACCTATTACTTGATATATGTAAGCTCTATGTATCAACATTTACTTGATATATGTAAGCTCCCTGTATCACCCTTTACTTGATATATGTAAGCTCTATATATCGCCTTTAATTTGATATATGTAAGCTCCCTGTATCAACTTTTACTTAATATATGTAAGCTCTATGTATCACCTTTAATTTGATATATGTAAGCTCTATGTATCACCTTTTACTTGATATATGTAAGCTCTCTGTATCACCTATTACTTGATATATGTAAGCTCTCTGTATCACCTATTACTTGATATATGTAAGCTCTTTGTATCACCTATTACTTGATATAAGTAAGCTCTCTGTATCACCTTTTTTTTATAGATGTTGGCTATATGTACCAGAATCTTGAGGAGTTACAGAAGGAAATGGATGCCACCCAGGACTACAGTTTAGAATTGGAAATGGAAGCCACCCTCGTAGGTAAGAACAGTTCATTGGTGGACTTTTCAAATTGTACTTTAGATTACTGTCGTGCCGTCTTTCCTTATAAAATATATGTTATATGTATCTCTGTTTTATAGGTAGTTCTACATTTGTAGGGTGACCATTTTCAGATTTCGTCTGCAGGTTCTCCTTCGTGTCCAGGCGTGTAATGTCTGGTTTTGAAATTGACAGTTGAAGATTACTATCTCTTAGTCTATTTTGTAAGAGATATTAGTCTATTTCTTAGGATGTGGTAGTCTATTTCTTAAGAGGTATTAGTCTATTTCTTAAGAGGTATCAGTTTATTTCTAAGAGATAGTAATCTATTTCTTAAGAAGTATTAATCTATTTCTTAAGAAGTATTAATCTATTTCTTAAGATGAGTTAGTCTATTTCTTTAGAAGTGTAAGTCTATTTCTTAAGATGAGTTAGTCTATTTCTTTAGAAGTGTAAGTCTATTTCTTAAGATGAGTTAGTCTATTTCTTTAGAAGTGTAAGTCTATTTCTTTAGAAGTGTAAGTCTATTTCTTTAGAAGTGTAAGTCTGTTTCTTAATAGGTATTTTTAGATTTTTTTATGTTATTAAAGAGCAAATAACAAAGAAAAGAGGTTATAATATCCTAATTTTACAGACCAAACAAAATTAAACTATGGTTGGTGCCTGGACCCTGTTAGGTGTCTTGTCTGATGTTCAGAGCAGTACAACTTAATTGTGTAGACATTTCGTTATGTACTAGATATTATAAAGAACTTAAATATGTTTTACAAATGACTGATAGAAAAGCTACAGTATACTGTATGAAATTGACTGAACAACACACTTTTTAAATAATATTGTATTAAGATTAGCTACAGAATAGATTTTATATAGGATGAGTTCTGCAGATATCTGGAGGAGAAGCTGTAGTATATATTTAGTATTGTTCTCAATGACATGGTGAGAGCTTTTAGTTTCTAAACCAATCTGTCCAATTCCAGATGATTCTGTAAACATAGCAGAGGAAGATGACTGTAGCAAGACTAGTAAGAGGTCGGCTGTAAGTACAAAGAAGCTTTTAGCTAACAAGTAACCATGAGCCAATGTTATTCATTCAGCATCACTGGTTACAGGCAGCCATTACATGAGGCTGTCTTCCTGGTGTCACTTTTTTCACGAAAATATGAGCTAACAGTTTTTTTTACCTGGCATCATGGTTACATGTTACAGTGAGTGAATGCTGTTCACGAGACATCACAGGTTATGAGTTACAGTGAGTGAATGCTGTTTCCAGAGACATCACAGGTTATGAGTTACAGTGAGTGAATGCTGTTTCCGAGATATCACAGGTTATGAGTAACAGTGAGTGAATGCTGTTCCAGAGACATCACAGGTTATGAGTTACAGTGAGTGAATGCTGTTTCCAGAGACATCACAGGTTATGAGTTACAGTGAGTGAATGCTGTTTCCAGAGACATCACAGGTTATGAGTAACAGTGAGTGAATGCTGTTTCCGAGATATCACAGGTTATGAGTTACAGTGAGTGAATGCTGTTTCCGAGATATCACAGGTTATGAGTTACAGTGAGTGAATGCTGTTTCCGAGATATCACAGGTTATGAGTAACAGTGAGTGAATGCTGTTCCAGAGACATCACAGGTTATGAGTTACAGTGAGTGAATGCTGTTTCCAGAGACATCACAGGTTATGAGTTACAGTGAGTGAATGCTGTTTCCGAGATATCACAGGTTATGAGTAACAGTGAGTGAATGCTGTTCCAGAGACATCACAGAGACAGTGAGTGAATCACAGGTTATGAGTTACAGTGAGTGAATGCTGTTTTCAGAGACATCACAGGTTATGAGTTACAGTGAGTGAATGCTGTTTCCGAGATATCACAGGTTATGAGTAACAGTGAGTGAATGCTGTTTCCAGAGACATCACAGGTTATGAGTTACAGTGAGTGAATGCTGTTTCCGAGATATCACAGGTTATGAGTTACAGTGAGACATCACAGGTTATGAGTTACAGTGAGTGAATGCTGTTTCCGAGATATCACAGGTTATGAGTTACAGTGAGTGAATGCTGTTTTCAGAGACATCACAGGTTATGAGTTACAGTGAGTGAATGCTGTTTTCAGAGACATCACAGGTTATGAGTTACAGTGAGTGAATGCTGTTTCCAGAGACATCACAGGTTATGAGTTACAGTGAGTGAATGCTGTTTTCAGAGACATCACAGGTTATGAGTTACAGTGAGTGAATGCTGTTTCCGAGATATCACAGGTTATGAGTAACAGTGAGTGAATGCTGTTCCAGAGACATCACAGGTTATGAGTTACAGTGAGTGAATGCTGTTTCCAGAGACATCACAGGTTATGAGTTACAGTGAGTGAATGCTGTTTCCAAGATATCACAGGTTATGAGTAACAGTGAGTGAATGCTGTTCCAGAGACATCACAGGTTATGAGTTACAGTGAGTGAACGAGATATCACAGGTTATGAGTAACTGTGAGTGAATGCTGTTTCCGAGATATCACAGGTTATGAGTAACAGTGAGTGAATGCTGTTCCAGAGACATCACAGGTTATGAGTTACAGTGAGTGAATGCTGTTTCCGAGATATCACAGGTTATGAGTAACTGTGAGTGAATGCTGTTTCCGAGATATCACAGGTTATGAGTAACTGTGAGTGAATGCTGGTCCCCTGGCCTTACCAGTTATTAGTCATTATGAGCTAATTTATGCTTTTCCGTGTGTCTCACCAGTAACAAGTGTTCATGTCCCATCCAAAAACTTTGGAGTTTTTGTGGTCAGATTTGAAAGAGTGGCTGTATAATATAAAATTTTAGTTATTTTTCAACATTTGTGAAGCAAATTTTTGAAATGTTAATCTTACTTGTTGGCTTAGATACAAACATGCAAAGAGTGTAAAAGTTAATTAAGGTATTAATAGGTGTCCATATTTGGAATCAAACCTCGTGTACGTGAGAGGTGAGTGTGTAACCACTCTACCACCTGATGGACCACCCAAAAGTCTCTGATTGTTAATCTCACATCCTTTACACTAAGGTAGACGTTAGACAATTCAATGGTTTCAATGATGATCTGTTTTTACGATTTAGGTTTTGGGATAAAAGAGTTTTTCAATCGCTTCTGCTGTTAAGCTTGATATTAATTGATTGACTTTTTTTGAAGTTCCATTGACAAGCAGTAGTGTGCTATAAACATATATGTTCGCAATGTATATGCCAAAACACTTTTGATCAAATCCATACCCATTGTATAATAAGTGCTTTATACACTAATCTGAAATATTTACACTGTTGAACTTTCAAATTATCAGGAAAATACATCTACATGTGAGCCACTGACGAAACGTTTAAAAACAGACGATGGTGAGCAGGGTCCTTCTAGTGTTCCAGCTGAAGATGGCAAGGGAAAGATAACTCTGGAGAATAAAGATGATGTGGGGAAATCATCTATCAAGGAGAAAGAGGATCAGGGAAAGACAACCCCTGAAGTCAAAGATGGTCAGAAAGAGACAACCTCAGAGGATAAAAAGGATTGTTGTAATAAGCCTGGCATGGCTGCCACAAGTGGTTCCTGTGTGGATGGCCCGGATGAGATAGAGGAAGCTCTCATCTGTACAATATGTCAAGAACTTCTACATGACTGCATCAGGTTAGTACATTGGCAAAAGTAGTTTCAAAGATTTAAATTTCATATCATTATTTGGTCACCTGAGACAAAGATTTCATGGTGGCCTATTGCAATCACCTTCCTCCGGCGTCATGCACCATGTGTCTGTAAACAATTTAACATTTTCTCAAAACTCCAGATCCGATTTCAATGAAATTTTGCAGAAACCTTCCCTGGCCTAAAGAACCAAAATTGTGAATTATATGGTCCCCACCCCACAAGGGGCCTGATACTCAGGGCCACGAAGGGACAAATTGACTTAAATTTCAAAAATCTTCTTCTCAACACCTAGATATAGTAGAATCAAATGCTCTTCATTGATGGAAGCATCTTAAGGAAGCATCTCACCTTTCCCCATGGGGAAGGGGTAAAGTTTACTATAGTTAATATAGGAAAAAAATATTTTTGAGCAGAATTTGTTTTATTTCCATTGGAAATATTTTAAACTTGTTAAGATTTGTGAGTAAAGGATGATGGCTCAATGGTATGCCCATATTGATCCTGATTGACCCTAAAAGGGCTGATGGGCAGGGCCAAAAAGGGTCAAATTGACATGAATTTCAAATATCTTCTTCTCAATGCCCATTTATTGAAGAATCAAATGCTCTGTATGAACGGAAGCATGGAAGGTGCTTTGATTACCAAAATCGGTCTCACATTTCTTCCTAGGGAGGAAGTTTTTAAACTTTCTTGTAATTTTCATAGATAAAATGCATTTTTGAGCATAATGTTTGTTATTTCCCACTGGATAATAACTGTGAGAATTATTGATATATGATGACAGTTGTGATGGTATGTCTGTATTGACACTTGGTTACTATCATCAATGTCACAATTCCTTTTTCATGACACTTGAAAGTTACTTACCCTTTAATCTTAATATTCGATATTGCTTATCTCAGGTGACCTTCAAGGCTGCTAGGCCTTGTGTTATCTTAGCAATTGTCTGTAAGGGTAGGTTTATGTCACTATATTTAAACACTTAATACTCACTATAAAAGTCCGTGATTAAGAGTGTTCAGGTTAACAGACATAATTGTGTCGGCTTACTTGACACTGTAATGATCCATTTGTATGTTCTGATTCATAAGTTAAAAATTGACTCTTGGTATGCAACTGAAATGTGCTGTGTCAAACCACAAAATGGTCTTAATGATATTTGCCATAAAACAGGCTACCTTTTGACAAATCGTGTTGAATAAACTGCCATTGTTTGTAGTCTGCAGCCTTGTATGCACTCCTTCTGTGCTGGTTGTTACTCGGATTGGATGGAGAAGTCAAACGAATGTCCTACAGTGAGTATAACATGTATCAGTTTATGTTGCTTGTCCCTGTAAACCAAAGCATTAAGTCTGTCATTAAAACAATCTGTCAATACAATGTGTTCAATTCTGTCAATACACTGTGTTGACTTCTCTCAGTACACTGTGTTCAATTCTGTCAATACATTGTGTTCAATTCTGTCAATACATTGTGTTAACTTCTCTCAATACATTGTGTTAACTTCTCTCAATACACTGTGTTCAATTCTGTCAATACATTGTGTTAACTTCTCTCAATACACTGTGTTCAATTCTGTCAATACATTGTGTTCAATTCTGTCAATACATTGTGTTCAATTCTGTCAATACATTGTGTTAACTTCTCTCAATACATTGTGTTAACTTCTCTCAATACATTGTGTTAACTTCTCTCAATACATTGTGTTAACTTCTCTCAATACACTGTTCAATTCTGTCAATACATTGTGTTAACTTCTCTCAATACACTGTGTTCAATTCTGTCAATACATTGTGTTCAATTCTGTCAATACATTGTGTTCAATTCTGTCAATACATTGTGTTAACTTCTCTCAATACATTGTGTTAACTTCTCTCAAAACACTGTGTTCAATTCTGTCAATACATTGTGTTAACTTCTCTCAATACACTGTGTTCAATTCTGTCAATACATTATGTTCAATTCTGTCAATACATTGTGTTCAATTCTGTCAATACATTGTGTTAACTTCTCTCAATACATTGTGTTCAATTCTGTCAATACATTGTGTTCAGTTCTGTCAATACATTGTGTTAACTTCTCTCAATACATTGTGTTCAATTCTGTCAATACATTGTGTTCAATTCTGTCAATACATTGTGTTCAGTTCTGTCAATACATTGTGTTAACATCTCTCAATACATTGTGTTCAATTCTGTCAATACATTGTGTTCAGTTCTGTCAATACATTGTGTTAACTTCTCTCAATACATTGTGTTCAATTCTCTCAATACATTGTGTTGATGTTTTTCTGTAATATAGACAGTTGAAAGTTGTCAGGATAAGATATGATTGCATAATTATTATAACATGTGATGAACTACAGATTTGACACAATTTTACTTTTACAGTAATTTGTAAACATTATATACTGTGTATCTTAGTATATGTAAAGGACTATTTCTATAAAGATCAAACTAGTGAAAGGTCATCAGTATTGTAGGAACAGAAAATCATATAAACATATAAAGTAAATCACATTTTTGTTAGTACCTACCAAGACTAGAAGTTCTTCATTTCTATAGTTCTCTTGTAAGATGAAGGAATAGCCATTAACAGTAATTTTTATTTTAAAAGTCATAACTTATGTTAATTTTTTTATCTTTTTTTTTCATAAAAGTGTCGTATGAAGGTGGAAAGAATCAACAAGAATCATATTGTCAATAATCTCATGGAAGCTTACCTAAAGGAAAATCCTAGTGAGTATATAACCATTGACACTACATGTAAAGTTTACTATCCACGTGTAAAGTTCACTATCTCATGTGTAAAGGTCACTATCTCATGTGTAAAGTTCTCTATCTCATGTGTAAAGTTCACTTTTTCATGTGTAAAGTTTACTATTTCATGTGTCAAGTTTGCTATCTCATGTGTAAAGTTCACTACCTTATGTGTAAAGTTTACTATCCATGTGTAAAGTTCTCTATCTCGTGTGTAAAGTTCAATACCACATGTGTAAAGTTCTCTACCCTATGTGTAAAGGTCACTATCTCATGTGTAAAGTTCACTACCTAATGTGTAAAGTTCACTACCTTATGTGTAAAGTTCTCTATCTCATGTGTAAAGTTCTCTATCTCGTGTGTAAAGTTCAATACCACATGTGTAAAGTTCTCTCTCTCATGTGTAAAGTTTACTATTCATGTGTAAAGTTTACTATCCACGTGTAAAGTTCACTATCTCATGTGTAAAGGTCACTATCTCATGTGTAAAGTTCTCTATCTCATGTGTAAAGTTCACTTTTTCATGTGTAAAGTTTACTATTTCATGTGTCAAGTTTGCTATCTTATGTGTAAAGTTTACTATCCATGTGTAAAGTTCTCTATCTCGTGTGTAAAGTTCAATACCACATGTGTAAAGTTCTCTACCTCATGTGTAAAGTTTACTATTTCATGTATAAAGTTTATTATTTCATGTGTCAAGTTTGCTATCTCATGTGTAAAGGTCACTATCTTATGTGTAAAGGTCACTATCTCATGTGTAAAGTTTACTATCCATGTCTAAAGTTCACTATTTCATATGTAAAGTTCACTATCTCATGTGTAAAGGTCACTACCTTATGTGTAAAGGTCACTATCTCATGTGTAAAGTTCACTACCTAATGTGTAAAGTTCACTACCTTATGTGTAAAGTTCACTACCTTATGTGTAAAGTTCTCTATCTCATGTGTAAAGTTCTCTATCTCGTGTGTAAAGTTCAATACCACATGTGTAAAGTTTACTATCCATGTCTAAAGTTCACTATTTCATATGTAAAGTTCACTATCTCATGTGTAAAGGTCACTATCTTATGTGTAAAGGTCACTAACTCATGTGTAAAGTTCACTTTTTCATGTGTAAAGTTTACTATTTCATGTGTCAAGTTTGCTATCTTATGTGTAAAGTTTACTATCCATGTGTAAAGTTCTCTATCTCGTGTGTAAAGTTCAATACCACATGTGTAAAGTTCTCTACCTCATGTGTAAAGTTTACTATTTCATGTATAAAGTTTATTATTTCATGTGTCAAGTTTGCTATCTCATGTGTAAAGGTCACTATCTTATGTGTAAAGGTCACTGTCTCATGTGTAAAGTTCACTACCTAATGTGTAAAGTTCACTACCTTATGTGTAAAGTTCACTACCTTATGTGTAAAGTTCTCTATCTCATGTGTAAAGTTCTCTATCTCGTGTGTAAAGTTCAATACCACATGTGTAAAGTTCACTATCTCATGTGTAAAGTTTACTATTCATGTGTACAGTTTACTATCCACGTGTAAAGTTCACTATCTCATGTGTGTAAATGTGTAAAGTTCTCTATCTCATGTGTAAAGTTCACTTTTTCATGTGTAAAGTTTACTATTTCATGTGTCAAGTTTGCTATCTTATGTGTAAAGTTTACTGTGTAAAGTTCTCATGTGTAAAGTTCATGTGTAAAGTTCTATCTCATGTGTAAAGTTTACTATCCATGTGTAAAGTTCTCACTATCTCGTGTGTAAAGTTCAATACCACATGTGTAAAGTTCACTACCTATATGTGTAAAGTTTACTATCTCATGTGTAAAGTTTCATGTGTATTTCATGTGTAAAGTTTACTATCTCATGTGTAAAGTTCTCTGTGTCGTGTGTAAAGTTCAATACCACATGTGTAAAGTTCTCTACCTCATGTGTAAAGTTTACTATTCATGTGTAAAGTTTACTATCCACGTGTAAAGTTCACTATCTCATGTGTAAAGTTCACTCTCTCATTTGTAAAGTTATCTACCTAACGTGTAAAGTTCACTATCGCATGTGTAAAGGTCACTATCTCATGTGTAAAGTTCTCTATCTCATGTGTAAAGTTCACTATCTCATGTGTAAAGTTCTCTATCTCATGTGTAAAGTTCACTTTTTCATGTGTAAAGTTTACTATTTCATGTGTCAAGTTTGCTATCTCATGTGTAAAGGTCACTATCTTATGTGTAAAGTTCACTATCTCATGTGTAAAGTTCACTCATGTGTAAACATGTGTAAAGTTCACTATTTCATGTGTAAAGTTCACTATCTCATGTGTAAAGTTCACTATCTCATGTGTAAAGTTCACTATCTCATGTGTAAAGTTCACTACCTCTCATGTGTAAAGTTCACTACCTTATGTGTAAAGTTCTACTATCTCATGTGTAAAGTTTCTATCTCATGTGTAAAGTTTTATCTCATGTGTAAAGTTCACTATCTCATGTGTAAAGTATCCATGTGTAAAGTTCACTATTTCATGTGTAAAGTTCACTATCTCATCACTATCTCATGTGTAAAGTTCATGTGTAAAGTTCACTTTTTCATGTGTAAAGTTCATTTCATGTGTCAAGTTTGCTATCTTATGTGTAAAGTTTACTCATGTGTAAAGTTCTCTATCTCGTGTGTAAAGTTCACTATACCACATGTGTAAAGTTCACTACCTCATGTGTAAAGTTTACTATTTCATAAAGTTTATTATTTCATGTGTAAAGTTCACTATCTCATGTGTAAAGGTCACTATCTTATGTGTAAAGGTCACTATCTCATGTGTAAAGTTCACTACCTAATGTGTAAAGTTCACTACCTTATGTGTAAAGTTCACTACCTTATGTGTAAAGTTCTCTATCTCATGTGTAAAGTTCTCTATCTCGTGTGTAAAGTTCAATACCACATGTGTAAAGTTCACTATCTCATGTGTAAAGTTTACTATTCATGTGTACAGTTTACTATCCACGTGTAAAGTTCACTATCTCATGTGTAAAGGTCACTATCTCATGTGTAAAGTTCTCTATCTCATGTGTAAAGTTCACTTTTTCATGTGTAAAGTTTACTATTTCATGTGTCAAGTTTGCTATCTTATGTGTAAAGTTTACTATCCATGTGTAAAGTTCTCTATCTCGTGTGTAAAGTTCAATACCACATGTGTAAAGTTCTCTACCTCATGTGTAAAGTTTACTATTTCATGTATAAAGTTTATTATTTCATGTGTCAAGTTTGCTATCTCATGTGTAAAGGTCACTATCTTATGTGTAAAGGTCACTATCTCATGTGTAAAGTTCACTACCTAATGTGTAAAGTTCACTACCTTATGTGTAAAGTTCACTACCTTATGTGTAAAGTTCTCTATCTCATGTGTAAAGTTCTCTATCTCGTGTGTAAAGTTCAATACCACATGTGTAAAGTTCACTATCTCATGTGTAAAGTTTACTATTCATGTGTATGTGTCAAGTTTACTATCCATGTGTAAAGTTCACTATCTCATGTGTAAAGTCAATCTCATGTGTAAAGTTCACTATTTCATGTGTAAAGTTCACTATTTCATGTGTAAAGTTTCATCTCTCATGTGTAAAGTTTACTATTTCATGTGTAAAGTTCTCATGTGTATCTGTAAGTTCTACTATCTCGTGTGTAAAGTTCAATACCATGTGTAAAGTTCTCTACACTATCTTATGTGTAAAGTTTACTATCTCATGTGTAAAGTTCACTATCTCATGTGTAAAGTTCATGTGTATCTTCATGTGTAAAGTTCACTATCTCATGTGTAAAGTTCACTACCTCATGTGTAAAGTTCACTACCTTCATGTGTAAAGTTCACTACCTTATGTGTAAAGTTTACTATCCATGTGTAAAGTTCTCTATCTCGTGTGTAAAGTTCAATACCACATGTGTAAAGTTCACTATCTCATGTGTAAAGTTACTATTCATGTGTAAGTTTACTATCTCATGTGTAAAGTTCTCTATCTCATGTGTAAAGTTCACTTTTTGATGTGTAAAGTTCTCTATCTCATGTGTAAAGTTCACTATTTCATGTGTAAAGTTCTCTATCTCATGTGTAAAGTTATCTACCTCATGTGTAAAGTTCTTTACCTCATGTGTAAAGTTCTCTACCTCATGTGTAAAGTTCTCTACCTCATGTGTAACTCTCTATCTCATGTGTAAAGTTTACTATTTCATGTGTCAAGTTTGCTATCTTATGTGTAAAGTTCACTATCTCATGTGTAAAGTTCTCTCTCTCATTTGTAAAGTTCTCTACCTAATGTGTAAAGGTCACTATCTCATGTGTAAAGTTCTCTTTGTCGTGTGTAAAGTTCACTATCTCATGTGTAAAGTTCAATACCACATGTGTAAAGTTCTCTACCTCATGTGTAAAGTTAACTATTTCATGTATAAAGTTTACTATTTTATTTGTCAAGTTTACTATCTCAAGTGTAAAGTTCTCTATCTTCTGTGTAAAGTTCACTACATTTGTAAAGTTCTCTACCTCATGTGTAAAGTTTACTATTTCATGTGTCAAGTTTGCTATCTCATGTGTAAAGGTCACTATCTTATGTGTAAAGGTCACTATCTCATGTGTAAAGATTACTATCCATGTCTAAAGTTCACTATTTCATATGTAAAGTTCACTGTCTCATGTGTAAAGGTCACTACCTTATGTGTAAAGGTCACCATCTCATGTGTAAAGTTCACTACCTAATGTGTAAAGTTCACTACCTTATGTGTAAAGTTCTCTTTCTCATGTGTAAAATTCTCTATCGCGTGTGTAAAGTTCAATACCACATGTGTAAAGTTCTCTCTCTCATGTGTAAAGTTTACTATCCATGTCTAAAGTTCACTATTTCATATGTAAAGTTCACTATCTCATGTGTAAAGGTCACTATCTTATGTGTAAAGGTCACTATCTCATGTGTAAAGTTCTCTACCTAATGTGTAAAGTTCTCTATCTCATGTGTAAAGTTCTCTATCTCGTGTGTAAAGTTCAATACCTTATGTGTAAAGTTCTCTACCTCATGTGTAAAGTTCTCTACCTAATGTGTAAAGTTCTCTACCTTATGTGTAAAGTTCTCTATCTCATGTGTAAAGTTCTCTATCTCGTGTGTAAAGTTCAATACCTTATGTGTAAAGTTCTCTACCTCATGTGTAAAGTTCTCTACCTAATGTGTAAAGTTCTCTACCTCATGTGTAAAGTTCTCTATCTCATGTGTAAAGTTTACTACATTTAACCTTTTCTATCTCACATGTAAGTTACAATGTGACGTGCCTAAGTACATGTTCAGCTAACAATAAGTATGGTCTGAAACACAGTATCATTTACCGATTGATAATTATATCTGAAGACAAGTGCTCTTTACTTGTACTTTATTATTTAATTGTGTCTCTATGTAATCATAAAGAATTGTTACGAGTGAGTACAGTGTTTGTGTGGGATTGATAGACATTATCACCAGGTTTACCATACATTGTATTTCTCTGTTGAAGCTTGACAAAAGATCATCTACTACTTTGTAACTGATTCATTTTTGTATCTCTTTTATGGGGAAAATGATTATTAATGGTGAATTATCTCAATATATTGTGTTAAATTATCTCAATATATTGTGTTAAATTCTCTCAATATATTGTGTTAAATTCTCTCAATATATTGTGTTAAATTATCTCAATATATTGTGTTAAATTCTCTCAATATATTGTGTTAAATTCTCTCAATATATTGTGTTAAATTATCTCAATATATTGTGTTAAATTATCTCAATATATTGTGTTAAATTCTCTCAATATATATCAATATATTGTGTTAAATTATCTCAATATATTGTGTTAAATTCTCTCTATACATTGTGTTAAATTCTCTCAATATATTGTGTTAAATTCTCTCAATATATTGTGTTAAATTATCTCAATACATTGTGTTAAATTATCTCAATATATTGTGTTAAATTCTCTCAATATATTGTGTTAAATTATCTCAATATATTGTGTTAAATTCTCTCTATACATTGTGTTAAATTCTCTCAATATATTGTGTTAAATTCTCTCAATACATTGTGTTAAATTCTCTCCATACATTGTGTTAAATTCTCTCCATACATTGTGTTAACTTCTCTCCATACATTGTGTTAAATTCTCTCCATACATTGTGTTAACTTCTCTCTATAAATTGTGTTAAATTCTCTCAATACATTGTGTTAAATTCTCTCCATACATTGTGTTAACTTCTCTCCATACATATACATTGTGTTAACTTCTCTCCATACATTGTGTTAAATTCTCTCCATATATTGTGTTAAATTCTCTCAATATATTGTGTTAACTTCTCTCAATACATTGTGTTAAACTTGCATGGGGATGAATTTCAGATGTGGTAAAATATGTAGAGATAAACATTTTATTGGAAAGTAAACTTAACATATAATGAACAGTATATTGTAATTGTGGAATTAATTGTTTCTGTAATGTTTTACAGATAAAAAGAGAGATGAAGAAGACCTGAAAGAATTAGACGCCAAGAACAAAATATCAAGAGATATGGTACACAGATGTTTACTTTTATATTTCATACGTTCTGTTATGTGTCATATACAGTCATGTTAGTAGTTTTCATATCATGTTTTGAATCCTAACAAACTCTTCATAATGTTGTGTTTTGTTGCCAGTTTCCATTTTGCTGTGTCACATTTTATCTGAGTTGCCAACTTACTGGATTCTTGTAAGTTACTGCAGAAATGGTTTATTTTCAGAGGGTTATATTTCTAGTAATATTACATTTTGTTTATTAGGTATTGATTGCTTCCCAAAAAACCTTGAACCAAAGCAATTTCAATGAAATTTTGCAGAAAACTTCCCCTGGCCTTACTAGTGAAACATATGGTCCCCACACCATAGAGGTCTGAGAGGTGGGGCCAAAAGGGTAAAATTGACTCAAATTTCAAAAATCTTCTCAACACACAGATATTGTAGAATCAAATGCTTTTCATGGGTGGAAGTGTCTGAAGGTGCTTTACCAAAACTTTGCAATTCAATTTCATGGTCCCAGGGTGTAACATTTACCCATGGGGAGGGGGTAGAATTTACTATAGTTTATAGACTTTTTAGCATAATTTGATTAATTATATCATTGGAGATATTTCAAACTTGGTTAGAATTATAAATGAAGGATGATGACTTGATGGTATGCCCATATTGATCATGGCTGACCCCCAGGGGTTGATGGATGGGCTCAAAAGGGGCCAAGTTCACTCATATTTCAAAAATCTTCTCAACACCCAGATATGGTAGAATCAAATTCTCTTCATGGATGGAAGCATCTTAAGGTGCTTTAATTACCAAAAAGGGTCTCACATTTTTTCCTTGGGAGGAGGTTAACTTTGCTGTAATTTTTATGGAAAAATTGCATTTCGAAGCAGAACAGTGTTTTATGAACAGAAGACAAAAGACACATTTATCAGTCCTCAACATAATTGGGCTAATCGGCTGTAACAGCTGTGGTACCTGACTAGACTTCAGTTAGATCTTGTGACTTGTCATAAATAAGCTCAGCAGGAGAGGCTGTTGGCAATGTCCATGTAACTGAAGGAAGTAAATGTGATAAAAGAATTCTTGGGGGACTTACAAATTACATACTGAAGTAAGACGCCTGACTTACAAATTACATACTGAAGTGGGACGCCCGACTTACAAATTACATACTGAAGTGGGACGTCCGACTTACAAATTACATACTGAAGTGGGACGCCTGACTTACAAATTACATACTGAAGTGGGACGTCCGACTTACAAATTACATACTGAAGTGGGACGCCTGACTTACAAATTACATACTGAAGTAAGACGCCTGACTTACAAATTACATACTGAAGTGGGATGCCTGACTTACAAATTACATACTGAAGTGGGACGCCCGACTTACAAATTACATACTGAAGTGGGACGTCCGACTTACAAATTACATACTGAAGTGGGACGCCTGACTTACAAATTACATACTGAAGTGGGACGTCCGACTTACAAATTACATACTGAAGTGGGACGCCTGACTTACAAATTACATACTGAAGTAAGATGCCTGACTTACAAATTACATACTGAAGTAAGATGCCTGACTTACAAATTACATACTGAAGTAAGACGCCTGACTTACAAATTACATACTGAAGTGGGATGCCTGACTTACAAATTACATACTGAAGTAAGATGCCTGACTTACAAATTACATACTGAAGTAAGACGCCTGACTTACAAATTACATACTGAAGTAAGATGCCTGACTTACAAATTACATACTGAAGTGGGACGCCTGACTTACAAATTACATACTGAAGTAAGATGCCTGACTTACAAATTACATACTGAAGTAAGACGCCTGACTTACAAATTACATACTGAAGTAAGATGCCTGACTTACAAATTACATACTGAAGTAAGACGCCTGACTTACAAATTACATACTGAAGTAAGACGCCTGACTTACAAATTACATACTGAAGTAAGACGCCTGACTTACAAATTACATACTGAAGTAAGACGCCTGACTTACAAATTACATACTGAAGTAAGATGCCTGACTTACAAATTACATACTGAAGTAAGACGCCTGACTTACAAATTACATACTGAAGTAAGATGCCTGATTTCGCTGCAGAGCCAAGTGCCTAAACTCTGCCTTTATCCATGCTTTGAAACAGTTGGCAAGTTTTTACTCACTTAAAATGCCTTAGGAAAATTTAGAAGCTGTTTTAGTCTCCAGGTATCACCTGTTAATGTCGAGTGTGAGGTGATGGCACTACTGGTGCTACGTAAATTACTGTTACTGCTGCTGAAGAAAAACTGACCAGTCATGTGATCTGCAAAACTTGACCAGTCAGGTGACCAGACTGATCAGTAATAATTAACTTATATGTAACAAATGTGTTCACTCATATGTTGCCTTATGTTATTACAGAATATTTGTTATGTGTTTATCTTTCTTTGCTCAAGCTGTTAACAAAGTGTTCATATAACAAACATGTAAAAAAGTTTATGTTTGTTCATGAACTGCACTTATATAATATTACATAGGTCTTAGTCATTTCCCATAGAATTTTTAAGAATTATCAGTATAGGATGACAGTTTTGATGGTATGAATGTATTGACACTTGGTTACTATCATCAATGTCACATTTCCTTTTTCATGACACTTGAAAGGCTACTCATCCTTTAACCTTAATATTCAACATTGTCTATTTCAGGTGACTGCCAAGGTCGCTAGGCCTCTTGTATTAAATATTGTCTATCTCAGGTGACTGTCAAGGTCGCTAGGCCTCTTGTATTCAATATTGTCTATCTCAGGTGACTGTTAAGGTCGCTAGGCCTCTTGTATTCAATATTGTCTATCTCAGTTTGTTCATGAACTGCACTTATATAATATTACATAGGTCTTAGTCATTTCCCATAGAATTTTTAAGAATTATCAGTATAGGATGACAGTTTCGATGGTATGAATGTATTGACACTTGGTTACTATCATCAATGTCACATTTCCTTTTTCATGACACTTGAAAGGCTACTCATCCTTTAACCTTAATATTCAACATTGTCTATTTCAGGTGACTGCCAAGGTCGCTAGGCCTCTTGTATTAAATATTGTCTATCTCAGGTGACTGTCAAGGTCGCTAGGCCTCTTGTATTCAATATTGTCTATCTCAGGTGACTGTTAAGGTCACTAGGCCTTATGTATTCAATATTGTCTATCTCAGGTGACTGTCAAGGTCGCTAGGCCTCTTGTATTCAATATTGTCTGTCTCAGGTGACTGTCAAGGTCACTAGGCCTCTTGTATTCAATATTGTCTATCTCAGGTGACTGTCAAGGTCGCTAGGCCTCTTGTATTCAATATTGTCTGTCTCAGGTGACTGTCAAGGTCGCTAGGCCTCTTGTATTCAATATTGTCTGTCTCAGGTGACTGTCAAGGTCGCTAGGCCTCTTGTATTCAATATTGTCTGTCTCAGGTGGTCGCTAGGCCTCTTGTATTCAATATTGTCTGTCTCAGGTGACTATCAAGGTCGCTAGGCCTCTTGTATTCAATATTGTCTGTCTCAGGTGACTGTCAAGGTCGCTAGGCCTCTTGTATTCAATATTGTCTGTCTCAGGTGACTGTCAAGGTCGCTAGGCCTCTTGTATTCAATATTGTCTGTCTCAGGTGACTATCAAGGTCGCTAGGCCTCTTGTATTCAATATTGTCTGTCTCAGGTGACTGTCAAGGTCGCTAGGCCTCTTGTATTCAATATTGTCTATCTGAGGTGACTGTCAAGGTTGCTAGGTCTCGTGTCATTCTTTTCCCACAATTAGTGCGAAACAACTTTTAGCAATATCTGGAATTCATTGAAAATATTTTATAATTATTAATCTTTTGACAGCATATGATATCCACAGATATGTATGTATATCTTGTTTATGTAAACAATTTGTTTGAATGGTGTATGTGAGACCGTAGATTTATGTCAAGTTCTAATTTACAGTTATATCCAGGAAGTAAACATAGGATGGACAGCTCTGATAGTTCTGAATCAGATAGTTCAGACTCGGGTAGTCCACCACCAGATCATGTCCCATTCCAGTAAGTACAGTGGCTTTTTAAAATAATTATTAGTAACTTTAGATAGTATACTGAGTGAAGTACTACAATAATGATAAGTATATGAGATACACTGTCAATGGTAAATACTAATTATAGAATTCTATTTTGTAAATGTGATGTACACATTTATAGAATTCTATAGAATTCTATTTTGTTAATGTGCAGTACACATATTATAGAATTCTATTTTGTTAATGTACAGTACACATTGATAGAATTCTATTTTGTTAATATAAAGTACACATTGATAGAATTCTATTTTGTTAATGTGCAGTACACATTTATAGAATTCTATTTTGTTAATGTACAGTACATATTTATAGAATTCTATTTTGTTAATGTGCAGTACACATTTATAGAATTCTATTTTGTTAATGTGCAGTACACATTTATAGAATTCTATTTTGTTAATGTGATGTACAATTTATAGAATTTTGTTTTGTTAATGTGCAGTACACATTTATAGAATTCTATTTTGTTAATGTGATGTACACATTTATAGAATTCTATTTTGTTAATGTACAGTACACATTTATAGAATTCTATTTTGTTAATGTGCAGTACACATTTATAGAATTCTATTTTGTTAATGTGAAGGGATACCAGTTTTGTAGAATCAACTCCTCCTAGAGTTTTTGATGTAGAGCCTTGAAACTTTGTAGGATGTTTATGTATATGTTGAAGATGTGCACCTCCTATTATGGATTCATTCCAGACATTTTTTTTTATTTTCGAGGCTTTGGAACTTAGTCATTTTCCACATATAAATCACCTTGGGGCCCTAGATGTCCATTGTCTAATTTTTGAAATGCCCTTCTTCTGCACCAATTCATAAAATACAACCAAACTTTCTCTTTGATAACAAATATTCTACATACTCAACAAATGAAACACCCTTAACTGTCTTATAAATACCATATAACATTGCACTCATCCCACAACCCAGCCAATTGTTGCTTTGCCCTATTTTTTGATAATGAGATGTTAATACTTTGCTGTTATAGACTTTGCGTCGTTTACACATGCTGCCTCTCTTTCAGGTTCAATGCTCCTCCTCCCCTCCTTGGTTTTGGTACACCTGTGTTTGGAACTGTCAGGTAAGCTGTCCACTTCTCTGCTTTTCTTTTTTTCATTTTTTTTTATGTTTATGCCAATGTGTAGTTACAGATGTCACTGTATGATAGTTACACAGGGTTTACACAGCTAGTTTATGTTTATGCCAATGTGTAGTTACAGATGTCACTGTATGATAGTTACACAGAGTTACACAGCGAGTTTATGTTTATGCCAATGTGTAGTTACAGATGTCACTTATGATAAGATCAGGAGATACATATCAAAAGTCTGTGAAGAAGATCTCATAGACAGTTGAAAGATCAAAGGAAAAGAAACTTTTAAATTTACACTCATAGATAGGTGTACACGATGATGTGTCACCAGCATTTTATGATGGTTGAATGATGCTTTATATGAAGTTTGACTTGTCCTTTCATCAGACCAGCCAGGACGTTATGCAGACAATGCCCAGATTACAATGAGGTGACCATTCCCTGTACAGATCTTGCAGCCACCACCACCGGTACAACAGGCATCCTCGGGGCCATAGGGCAATTTGGTAAATATATTTATATCAGCTTCTTGTAATACTAATTATGATGGCAGAAAGCATCATCTTAATCTTTCTGATAAGAAATATACTGAACGGATTAAAACAAACATCAACTCTGTTCTGTAATTATATAAGTCTTTAACCAGCATAATGGACAGAGTTATGGTTCTTTGTTCAAAGTCCTTGTGTTTAACCTTGTGTACAACTCGTACTTATTCACAACACAGTATCAACCCTACACTATATAAGATTTTGGAATTCATCAGTTATATTTAAAGGTCAGAGGTCACTTGTTGGCCATAGATTTAGATAAAAACAAATGTGATGTTTGCAGGCTTAATATATTTGAGGCCTTCCTGTATTTCTTAAGTATAAATTCTCTGATTGTACAAACATGACAGATGTTGTTATGTGAATGTTTATTATAAGTGATAGAGACGTGTTTATTCTTGTATCTATAATTGGTTCCTTTCTGTATATATAAGATATATCATTTGTTTCAAGCCATGAATGTCCTTGGAAAACCAAATCCGCCAGAATCCAGTACATCTGAGGGCTCTACAGATAGTGAGGGTACCCTCCCTGAAGGAGATGAAGGTGGGCAATGAGTACAATTCATTTTTTTCTTGCAAATTTTGTGATCTGTTTGATCTGGCAATATGATTATTAACATAACAGAGAACAATATTTTATTTCAATGCCTTGGCTAGGATTTGAATCTGGGACTTCTGGCTTGTTAGCTCACCTTGTCCAAAGGGCCAAGTGTGGTTATGCCATAGCGTGTCGTTTGCCATCCGTCCGTCTGTCCTGCGTCCATCAACTTGTCATTTAAACAGCTTCTTCTGAGATACCGAAAGGCATAGAGTTACCATATTTGACTGGAAGGTTCCTTTGATGAAGCCCAATAAAGTTTGCGAAAAAAAAATAACCTTAACCCATATTCAATGCCACAGAGGTCAAATGTGTTAAAAACCTTTAAACAACTTCTTCCAAAACACCTGAAGGTCTAGAATCATTATATTTGGGTGGAAGGTTCCTTTGAAAAAGCCCAACAAAGTTTGCGAATAGAAAAGACCTTGTCCCATATTCAAGGTCACAGAGGTCAAATGTGTTAAAAACCTTTAAATGACTTCTTTCCAAATACCAGAAGGCCTAGAATCATTATATTAGGCAGCTATGTTCCTCTTATGGTGTCCTACAAAGTTTGTGTAAAGAAATGATCTTGACCAATCTTTAAGGTCACAGGGGTCAAATGTATTAAAACGTTTGAATAATTTCTTCTGAAATATCGAAAAGCCTAGAATCATTATATTTGGCCAGTATGTTCTTTTTATGATGTCCAAAAACGTTTGGTAAAAGAAATGACCTTGACCCAGAGTCAAGGTCACAGGGATCAAATGTGTTAAACGTTGAACATATGCACAATATAGTGCTGTTGGTCATAAAGATCCAGGTGAGCGATATAGGTCCTCTGGGCCTCTTGTTAGTCACTCGACCAATTCAGATAAGATCTTTCTACTGAACAGTATTTTGTGGTTAGATATTACCAGGGTTGTGTTGTTTTGATTTTTGTTTATAATCAACTAAAGTTTATTTTCTTCCTGCCTTTGGTGCGATAGAAACATGCAATCTATGATAGCTACACTTAGTGCTTAGTCAATGCTGATCTTGTTTAGAGATGTAACTATGTAAGGTATTTATATGTTGTTCTATCTAATGAGACTTCGCTTTAGTAATACACAAACTTTAATGCCAATCATCATTGATTTCTGTACTGAAGTCGAGATTCTATTGGTAGAAATCCTGGTTTGATAACTACCTTGTTGGAGTGTTACTTTGTCTACTTGGTTTACTTTCTGTATTATAGAAAGGCCGGGTCCCAGTGGGGAACAACCCGATCCAGATGTGAAGGTGATGCCTACAGCCCCTGACTACAGGTGTAAACAGAACCAAACCCATGTCCTGTGTCAGTGCTGTCTACAACCCATGCCAGACAGGAGACCCCAGTACCTGGCTGACCCCACAACAATTCCCCCACAACAATGTAAGTCTAACTGCTCAGTAATTTTTGGAGCGTTTTACTCTACAGCAGGTGGCTGAAACTTTACAGTTTGTATGTCTTTTTAGTAAAATATAACCAGTCAATTCTTAACACTGTAAACTTAAGTGTTTTGTGTTAATATAGCCAGTCAGTTTTAAATACCACATGCTTAAGAGTTTAGACTTGATATGACCAATTAATTCTTAACAAAATCTGTTAAGTGTTTTGTCTAAGTATAACCAGTGACATCAAAGTGAAATGAAAAAATTTTAGTAACAGGAAATAAAGTGAAAAAAACAACAATATTTCACGTGTGAAATATTTTGTCAATTTTTAGAAAATAGTTTTAAATAAAACTTCCATTTATATGATGAATATGTTTGATTGTAAACAATGAAGAAGAACTGGGATATTTAAGCAGTGTATTGACTGCTAATTATAATAATAATTAGTGATGTTCTGTATGTAGCTGTTGTACTGTACACATCATCATTTTGATTTTCTGTTGTTGAAAAACTTTTGTGAAACTCCTATATTTTGAGTGTGGTTGTAAGACTTTTGTGAAAACTCCTATATTTTGAGTGAGGTTGTAAGACTTTTGTGAAAACTCCTATAATTTGAGTGTGGTTGTAAGACTTTTGTGAAAACTCCTATATTTTGAGTGTGGTTGTAAGACTTTTGTGAAAACTCCTATATTTTTAGTGTGGTAAGACTTTTGTGAAAACTCCTATATTTTGAGTGTGGTTGTAAGACTTTTGTGAAAACTCCTATATTTTGAGTGTGGTTGTAAGACTTTTGTGAAAACTCCTATGTTTTGAGTGTGGTTGTAAGACTTTTGTGAAAACTCCTATATTTTGAGTGTGGTTGTGAGACTTTTGTGAAAACTCCTATATTTTGAGTGTGGTTGTAAGAACATTTATCCCTGGTAGATATTATCTATATCTGTGTGATAACACAACAGTCTCATAGTTATTCATGAGTTTTCATTTTAGCACATTTTACACATGTATTTTTATTTCACACAGTTGATATTTAACACATGTTGATATTTCACACATGATATACACATGATATTTAACACAGTTGATATTTAACACAGGTGATATTTAACACAGTTGATATTTTACACAGATGATATTTCACACAGTTGATATATCACACAGTTGATATTAAACACAGTTGATATTAAACACAGTTGATATTTAACACAGTTGATATTTAACACACAGTTGATATATCACACAGTTGATATTAAACACAGATGATATTTCACACAGTTGATATTTTACACAGATGATATTTTACACAGTTGATATTTCACACAGTTGATATTTTACACAGTTGATATTTTACACAGTTGATATTTTACACAGATGATATTTCACACAGTTGATATTTTACACAGTTGATATTTCACACAGATGATGTTTCACAAATATGATATTTCACACAGATGATATTTACACAGTTGATAATTCACACAGTTGATATTTCACACAGATGATATTTTACACAGTTGATATTTCACACAGTGATATTTTCACAAATATGATATTTCACACAGATGATATTTCACACAGATGATATTTCACACAGTTGATATTTCACACAGTTGATATTACACACAGGTGATATTTTACACAGTTGATATTTCACACAGATGATATTTTACACAGATTTCACACAGATGATGTTCACACAGTAGATATTTCACACAGATGATATTTCACACAGTTGATATTTCACACAGTTGATATTTCACACAGATGATATTTCACACAGTTGATATTTAACACAGGTGATATTTTACACAGATGATATTTCACACAGATGATGTTTCACAAATATGATATTTCACACAGTTGATATTTCACACAGTTGATATTTTACACAGTTGATATTTCACACAGATGATATTTCACACAGTTGATATTTTACACAGATGATATTTCACACAGATGATGTTTCACAAATATGATATTTCACACAGTTGATATTTCACACAGATGATATTTTACACAGTTGATATTTCACACAGATGATATTTCACACAGATGATATTTCACACAGTTGATATTTCACACAGTTGATATTTCACACAGTTGATATTTCACACAGTTGATATTTCACACAGTTGATATTTCACACAGTTGATATTTCACACAGGTGATATTTTACACAGATGATATTTCACACAGTTGATATTTCACACAGTTGATATTTTACACAGTTGATATTTCACACAGATGATGTTTCACAAATATGATATTTCACACAGATGATATTTCACACAGTAGATATTTCACACAGATGATATTTCACACAGTTGATAATTCACACAGTTGATATTTCACACAGATGATATTTTACACAGTTGATATTTCACACAGTTGATATTTTACACAGATGATATTTCACACAGATGATATTTTACACAGTTGATATTTCACACAGTTGATATTTCACACAGTTGATATTTCACACAATTGATATTTAACACAGTTGATATTTCACACAGATGATATTTCAAACAGTTGATATTTCACACAGTTGATATTTCACACAGTTGATATACACAGTTCACACAGTTGATATCACACATTTTACACAGATGATATTTTACACAGTTGATATTTCACACAGTTGATATTTTACACAGTTGATATTTTACACAGATGATATTTTACACAGTTAATATTTCACACAGTTGATATTTAACACAGTTGATATTTAACACAGTTGATATTTTACACAGATGATATTTCACACAGTTGATATATCACACAGTTGATATTAAACACAGTTGATATTAAACACAGTTGATATTAAACACAGTTGATATTTAACACAGTTGATATTTAACACAGATGATATTTCACACAGTTGATATATCACACAGTTGATATTAAACACAGATGATATTTCACACAGTTGATATTTAACACAGTTGATATTTCACACATGATATTTAACACAGTTGATATTTAACACAGGTGATATTTAACACAGTTGATATTTTACACAGATGATATTTCACACAGTTGATATTTAACACAGTTGATATTTAACACAGTTGATATTTTACACAGATGATATTTCATACAGTTGATATATCACACAGTTGATATTTCACACATGATATTTAACACAGGTGATATTTAACACAGTTGATATTTCACACAGATGATATTTCACACAGTTGATATTTAACACAGGTGATATTTTACACAGATGATATTTCACACAGTTGATATTTCACACAGTTGATATTTAACACAGTTGATATTTCACACAGTTGATATTTCACACAGGTGATACAGTTGATATTTCACACAGTTGATATTTCACACAGTTGATATTCACACAGTTGATATTTCACACAGTTGATATTTCACACAGTTGATATTTCACACAGTTGATATTTCACACAGTTGATATTTCACACAGATATTTTGATATTTAACACAGTTGATATTTAACACAGATGATATTTCACACAGTTGATATATCACACAGTTGATATTAAACACAGATGATATTTCACACAGTTGATATTTTACACAGTTGATATTTTACACAGTTGATATTTCACACAGATGATGTTTCACAAATATGATATTTCACACAGTTGATATTTTACACAGTTGATATTTCACACAGATGATGTTTCACAAATATGATATTTCACACAGATGATATTTTACACAGATGATGTGTTACACAGTTGATATTTTAAACAGATGATATTTCACATAGTTGATATTTCACACAGTTGATATTTCACACAGTTGATATATCACACAGTTGATATTTCACACAGTTGATATTTCACACAGTTGATATTTCACATTGTTGATATTTCACACAGATGATATTTCACACAGTTGATATTTCACACAAATGATATTTCATACAGTTGATATTTCACACAGTTGATATTTCACACAGATGATATTTTACACAGATGATATTTCACACAGATGATAACACAGATATTTGATATTTCACACAGTTGATATTTAACACAGTTGATATTTAACACAGTAGATATTTCACACAGATGATATTTCACACAGTTGATAATTCACACCGTTGATATTTCACACAGATGATATTTTACACAGTTGATATTTCACACAGATGATATTTCACACAGATGATATTTCACACAGTTGATATTTTACACAGTTGATATTTTACACAGAGGATATTTCACACAGATGATATGTTACACAGTTGATATTTTACACAGAGGATATTTCACACAGATGATATTTCACACAGTTGATATTTCACACAGTTGATATTTCACACAGGTGATATTTCACACAGTTGACATTTTACACAGATGATATTTCACACAGATGCTATTTCACACTAGTAATATTTCACATAGTTGATATTTCACACAGTTGATATTTCACACAGTTGATATTTCACACAGATGATATTTCACACAGTTGATATTTCACACAGTTGATATTTAACACAGATGATATTTCACACAGTTGATATTTCACACAGATGATATTTCACACAGTTGATATTTCACACAGATGATATTTTACACAGATGATATTTCAAACAGTTGATATTTCACACAGTTGATATTTAACACAGTTGATATTTTACACAGATGATATTTTACACAGATGATATTTCACACAGATGATATTTTACACAGATGATATTTCAAACAGTTGATATTTTGACACATGATATTTCACATAGTTGATATTTCACACAGTTGATATTTCACACAGTTGATATTTCACACAGTTGATATTTCACACAGTTGATATTTCACACAGTTGATATTTCACACAGGTGATATTTCACACAGTTGACATTTTACACAGATGATATTTTACACAGATGATATGTTACACAGTTGATATTTCACACAGATGATATTTCACACAGTTGATATTTCACACAGTTGATATTTCACACTAGTAATATTTCACATAGTTGATATTTCACACAGTTGATATATCACACAG